ACCAGCTCTGACTGGACATTGAGCTCGCAGCTACCCAGCCTTTGCAGGTCTCTCTCCGTCATGCAACGATACTCAGCACCCGATTGCTGGAGCCATGCTCGGGACTGCTTTGACAATCTTGTCGAGGCCGTCGAGGTCACCACGGTGCAGCTTGGCACCTTCCAACAATCAGACCCATAGAGCTGGAGAAACATGGACAAACCGACAAACTCATGATGGAAACAATGCCTGGTGAACAACTGAACAAATGGTGGATGCAACAAGCATTACAAAGTTACAAACTGTTGAAGCAATGAACTACGTAGGATGAACTAGGACTGAAAATCATCACCAAAAAAAGCAAAGGTGCAGAGTGGCTCTCTGTGGCCAACCGGATCCTTGTGATCCATCGATTCGGTCCATTCTGTCCATTCACTTGAACGGCTGGGGGCCCCGAGGGCCTTGTAGACCTCTTGCGCCACTCGGACGAAGCGCGCCGCATCCTCAACGATGTCGATGTCGTCGATGCCGTCGATGCACCGCACGGCCCGGCGGCCGTCCAGGCTCAGCAGGTCGACGCCTGCGGCGGCAGCTGCCAGGTCTGTAAGGTGCATAGGCTAGGTATACTACCAACCCTGGCAGAAAACGACTCATGGATAGAAGAAGGTTTGAGCTATCTTTCAGACTACGAGAACTTGACGAAGTGCCGACGCAGTGCCTGTCGGATTTGAACAGGGCAGTTGAATAGGGGTTGAAAGTTGGTCGCGTGGTCTTTGCTCTATGCTTTTTGGGAAAATGCTGGTCCATGATAACCTGGGCAGAATGCTTGCCTTCGACTTCAGCATCCCTGCCTGGATGCCTAAGAGTGACGTTCTGCCGCTCCCAAACCCACGGTGGAAGCTCCTTGCCAGGTGCCAAATAAACAAGAAAGCTTCCAACCAAAATGCAAAAGGCAGAATGCAAAAGGAGTGCCAAGACTTCTTAGCCTTAGACTTCTGGAAACAAACCAACCGTTAACCCCCAACAATCCTGCAATCAATCATGCAATGATACTTCATCTTTAACCATCTTCAAGGTTCCTTTGATCTTCCAAGGCCAACCCCTCTCACCGGTGCCCCACGCTCCTGCAAAGGCACCGCATCCAGCTTGATGGCCGCGGCCCACACCAGCCGTTGCTGCGGAGTGAGCCAAGCCCAGCTGAGCGCCTCCCGCGCCAGGCAGCGCAAACGCTCCATGAAGGCCGCGTCGCGGTCTTCCGGGCCTCGAGACAAAGCCAGTGGGTGCCGAAAATGTGTATGCGCCCACGACTTATGGATTGCTGTTTTGGTTTGGGGGAGCTGCTAAGTGCAGACGCATGGATGCCACGGAAGGGCCAGCACAACGCTTACCCACTGATCACA